CAGCTGAAAATGGCTGTAAAAAGACAGAAAACCATTCTGTAAAATGTTTACCTTTACAAATGCATAACCCTGATTTTACAGGTCAATGACGTTTATATAGAATTTGATAAGCAGAACACCACAAGCATCCAAAATATGCAAACAATGAAATGCTAATAGCATTCAAACATAATTAGTTTACCTTGAAATAACTCATACAAACAACAACAAATCCCTCCTATGATTTGTATAATGTATAAAGTAGATTATGTGAATAATGATAAAGTAGAAAAGTAGGTGATATTATTATACTTCCTGGTACGTAAAAAAAAAAAAAAAAAAGCAACATAATGCACTGCTTCCTCACAGGAGAAACAATGGAGTTACACCCACAAACATTATTTTACAAGCCTAACACTGGAGCTGGTGACAAATCCTCCTCTTCTACCTCTGCTTACCTACTTAAGTTACAGGCCTGCCATGTTTAATAAAGCAGCAGCTTTCAGACACTTTTCCAAAACAAGTCGTTGTTTTCAGAAGCCACACAGTCACAAGTACATGCAACAAATTCCCACAGCTCAGTCAGACAATAACTGCTAAGAGGAGAAATAAAAAATGCATAAGCATAAAAAGTATTCCTTCACTCCCTTTATATTCCCTTTACATAAAAACACCCTGATCCATTCATGTAAATCTTCCTTGTTTGCATGTGAAGAGTGAGGCAGGGTAAAACTGGGCAACCAAGAATTTTCTGTCCCGTCAGCCACAGTGAACACACCACAGCTCTTTGGGATTGAACACTGAGGACAGGGACCTTAATCAATAAAACAAACCTGTAAATCAGGAGAACGGATTCTGGTAGGCATGTACACACCGACAAACATTCAGCCATGGCATTCATCTTCTCAGTCACGTAGTCCAGTCTAATCTGTATCAGTTACCATAACTATTAATCACAAGAAGGAAATGCAGCAGAGCAGTCGTCGTCTCCAAATTAGGACATGCTTAACCACAACCTCCAATATAAGTTCACCTTCCATGACCTGCAAACATTAACAAACTTGTACACAAAACTTGATCATAAACCAAACCTTCCTACAAATGAAAAAAAACTTAGAGAAGGGACGTTACTTGTTCAGTTAAATAAATTTCTTGAAGATTACAGCCAAAGAAGGAAAAAGGCAACCTAAGCTATTAAAAGCAAAGCCAGATGACAGAAATGAGAGCAATTCTTTGAAACGCGAGGATGTGAATCACTCAGTTCAAGAGAACTGGGGTGTAGCCACAACAGAAGGAGCTCACATAGAAAATTAGAAAGTAGAGACTTTTATTGTAGCTGTCTACAGCCAAATTCTTATATATTTTTTTATTTAAATTTACTTTTGGAGGAGTATGAATCAATATTAAACACATTTAATAAATTGCAAATCCTTCAAACTTTAATAAATATATGGACTATAAAGTGTTTGCATTTTCTCACTTTGTCTTTTTAACATCCCAACATGCTCTGTTGAAGACTCTTGAGTCTCAAATAAAGATTAAATGATGTGCTCAAACTAAAAAGCCTGAAAAAGAAAATTCTGTAAACCAAAAGGCCAGTGCAGGAGCTAAAAATGTCTGTTTAGATTTGACCAAGTTGGCATGTTATCTTAAATGGGGCTCTAATGGATAACACTAATATCAACATTCACCTCTTTATAAAGTCGTTTTTATAACCAGCACTTATCATTAGTTCATACTGTATATTTCCACCTCACTCTAGCACCATCAAGTGCAAATATTGACTCCATCCAATAATTTATTTGTTTGTTGGCCAATAAAATAGCAGAAAATTGTTAAAAAGTTCTGGGTGTTCAAAGATTTTACAATTTTATTTTTGTACAAAGTATTAGTTTGACTCATTGAGCTGAGACTCATGGGTTTCCCCGTGGATGAGTAACATTACTCCTTAAATGAGTAAAATAAAAATAATAAAGCAGAAGCGGAAGAATAACGTAGCTGATTCAGTTCCTTCTGGCCAGTCTGAAACCTTGGCCTACATCGCTGTGATCACGTCTCTCCTCACGTCACCTCATGGGTCTCAGCTTTCACAGCTGTGTGGAGTCCAGCATGTGTCCTCCTTCTACCATCTCCTCCTCCAGATGGTACATCCTGCTCCTCTCAAGAGTAACTTTCCATTGAAACAGTGTGATAACATGCCGTAAGCCGTAATAACCCGCTGGTTAGGACATATTTTAAACAGGCATGAATGATATTTTTGTTTCTATACCACCATTAAAACAAGTTTAAAACAAAACGACCTTTTGTTTTTCCACGTCTTGGCTGATTTTGATTATTTTTTTTTTTTTAAGAATTACAGATAACATGACAAGAGCACTCCTATTTACCTAATTTATTTTAATTAAAACAACCACAGTCTAAACAGCCCAAGTCCTAATTTCCTGTTATATTTATTGAACCTTTAGCCTGCCTCCAGTGGGGGAGCATCATGAGATCTTCACAGAAATATAAACAAAAAATTCAGAAGAAAATGTGTTGTCAGTCAGAGTTAATATTTCTTGTTCCTGTTCTATGCTACTTCAGCTTATTATCTAACTGTATTTAAACACCATTAAACAATAAAACAGCATAAATGTTGCACGCACTATATCACCTTAACTGTTCTCAGAGAGCTATTATCTATACTGCATGTGATATACATACATAACAATGAACAGAATGTCAGTATCTTATCTACTACGGTAATTCCAGCAGTACTTCAACCTGTTGCAGATAAAATGTATTTATAGTTCTGCTAAGCATTCAGGAATGCACCAACTGATTTCCACTTAAAGACCTGTAACTACTAAGACTACTAATATATCAGTCCATTACTGTGACCAAAACAAATCAAAGGAAGTTGTTATGGTTTGTTTAAATCACTGAACAGCAAAAGCACTGTAGTGAAGGTAGCAACACAATGTGTGGTCCTCATAAAATGTACACTGGGTAGTAAAAATGACTACATGTACAATGAGGATGTTTTAAAAGTTGTCTACAAGCTGCACTGTATTAATATCTTATGCTCTGATTGTAGCTCTAATTACAAATCTTTTTGCCACTATTACAAATTTATCAAATAGAGCAAAACTATTATTTAAAAGAAATGTATCTTAAAATGTGGACTAGAAAAGTGGGCAAAATGTTTACATTTACACATTTTTAGACAGATGCAGAAAAACTTGAGAGAGAATAGGTGAAAATCTGTCATGGTTCTTGAAGACTGAGAATCTAGGCCCTTTTCTGTGATGTTTTTAGCAACTTGAAAATAAAAGAGGCTGCACCTTTACAGTTGACCCATCAGACCATCATGCATGCTGTTCAGGTTGTTGCGGGTCACATGTGTGGGTAGTTTATTCACCTGGATGTCACACCAACTGAGGAGGTGGTGGAAACGCCCAGGGCAGGATGTCAGGGCTGATTTGAACTCTGCTGTTTATTAACGCTCATGTTTCCATCTAAAAAGTGTTTTAGTCTCTTTGAAACACTGCCCATCCCTTATACTTTTCCAATGGACAGCTGAGTCTTGTTTAGCTATAAACTTGTCTAACTGAGTGAAAGTGTAAAAACAATCAACATTTTCTAGATGATGTTTGGGTCTTTCATTCTTTATGGATAGGTTTTTATCTCAAACTCTCAAAAAATGCATTAAGTAATGGTCGAAAAGGTCAATGACATTATAAGATGCTAAAAAACAATGGGAATCTATAATCTAAGTCTTTAAACCTTTGGAGTTTTAAACAAACAGTAAAATGACTAAAACATGCAGTTTTTCATCCCAGTTTAAACCCGCCAAAACCTCCTTATCACAACTTTACAGAAAGTCTCACTCTGCCTCATTACATGGCTGATGGATACATTGTTGGACAGAGTGAAGGGAGGCAGTCATGCAGATGAAAGTAAATCTACTGGACCATCTTAAAAGAGGCAGGAGTTGACAGAAGGCTGAAAGGCAGATGTTAAGCTGTAATTACAGCTGTGTAATATGTCATTCTTTGTTGTCTCTTACTCTCAATCAAAATACCTGCCGGTGTTACAGCTGTCATGAATTTAATGGCTGTCTAATTCCAAATTGAGTTCAGCAACTATATTGTTGGCCCCATGCAAAAGTCTAATTGTTTATAAAAGGATGAAAATTTTATTTAAGTCTAAGATAAAATTAATAGAGACTCATTCTCTCCAATACAGCTGCAAATGATAGATTTAACAAATATGATAAAGGTAAAAAAGTCATATGAAATAATAAAGTCCTAATAGACTAATAGCAGCAATAAAACAAGGCCATTTAAACTTACAGTTTGACAAAAGCACATTGAATAAACAAAGTCAGTGTGTAATATTACTGGAGCCACACCTCACTGCATCAATAGACACCAAAAGCAAAACCCAGAAAATTAAACAGAACCCTTTTGCAGCAGCTCAAACTGTATTGAACATCTGTTTGCTACGTAAATCTAAAGTAATCTCAGACACTTTCATCTATTTCAACTGTACATATACCTAACACTAACGAAAACAAAGGAATGAAAATAGTGAGCATCAGACGTCAATTAACTAGACACAAAAAATCTGCCCAATGCTGCAGCTGAAACACAAAGAGGGAGCTCAAGGCTTTAACGCTCATGGTTGTGACTGTGTTTTCCCTCTCGCCATCAGAGTGGAAAGTGAAGACAGCAGGAACCATCGTGTTTACAACAAAATCCTACAGCTGTGGAGCCGTCAAAGTGTGCTGAAAAAAGCCTGGGGTAATAAAACATGAGTAGCTAGGGAAATAATAAAATGGAGGAGGCGACAGACGGATGTACTGGTGTCCGTGCAACCTGCGACCAGAAGGTGCAGCAAAATGGAGACAGCATTATCAGGCAACAGATAAGACATATTTACTTCCCAAAGAATAATTTTTTTACTAAAACTTAGAAATGCCTTAAGATAGCCACTATCCAATATCAGCTACTGTTCTGATACATTTGCAAATGTTGTTTGGAGTCCAGAGTCTCAAGCACGAGCTGATAGTTTATCAAATGGATTGAAAAAGCTTCACAAACTTTAAAAACCATTCAGAAAAGGTGCTAAATAATAGTGCTGAGTCCAACTTCTTAAATGCAAAAAGAAAAAAATGCTTAAATTCATTTAAAAAAATGTGTTTTAAACGTTAATATTGAGTAACTGACGAGCATCTTTTATGCTTGCTGAAACATTTGATGAATGGAAAAAAGAAAAGGCCTCAAACAAATTTAATTTATACTTTGTTTAAATGGGGACAAATGTAAAATATGGACAAATGCTTTATAATATTTATAACCTTGGCTAATTTGCACTTCTCTAGAATAATAATCAGTTCCAAAAAATAAGAAAAGAGTTTTAGGAAGGGATTGAGTTTTCAAGGATGGCCAGATGTTCACATCTGTTTTGATGTTTTTAAAGTAGTTATGAATACTTCTTAAGACCCACCATTCATGGTATTACTAATGCAATACCATATAAGAGTCTTAAAAGAGAAAAAACCGGTGACAAACTTTCCGTCACGTAGCCTCGGTTGATGCTCAAACACGCGCGCGCGCACACCGAACGCTTTAAACCGCCATTGTGCCGCAAAACGTGAAAAATACACGATTTTAATTAAACCCCCATTCATGGTCCCAGCTCCAAACAAATTATTTACTATGAATTTTAATTCAAGGCTTTTATTCGCGTACATAAAAGATCTAAAAAAATAAAATAAAAAATTATGAAGGATTCATCCATCTTACAACCGTGTAATAACGTCACTCGTGTCATGGCTGAAGACACATTGTCTAACTTGGGTTAGTGAACTTACTGAACCTGAAGTCAGCTACTGTAAAACCACCAGTGGGCCGACTGGTTGGACCAGGCCGGAAGATTAGATAAATTAGATAAATGTATTTACCTTCCCCGAGTCCATGGCGGCCGGCAGAGATGTCTTCTTCTGTTCTTCTTCTTCGCGACTTTTTTTAAACAGTTTTCGACAATGGAAGAACTTTCCTTCTGGCGCTCACGTTTAGAAATTGTTCACGTTTTTAAAGCTCCTGTGTTAAAAGCTCATATCGAGTTTTTTTTTAAAAATTTTTTTTAAAGCAGCTTTTACTCAGCTTCGTTTCGTCTCTCCTCCTGCCTCGTCGTTTCAAACCGGAGCTCTAGGTTCTTCTTCTTCGGGGGTTTGAGTCGACTCTTCCTGGATGTAGGAGTTCGGCTTCAGTAGAAATTATTACCAGTGCGGCTTTATCGTAGGAGGCCTGAGTCAAACATGAGTTAATATAGCGAGCTGACGTGGGGCGGGGCGTGTGAGTGAAGCAAATATGACGAAACGTTTACGGGAGGCGTGAAATAAAAAAAAAAAGGGAGGTAGAAATTATGCTCACTCCGGAGTGACGTCACGGTAGGGGGCGAGGTCTGCTTGTAGGAGTTGGAGGCCCGTCCTCTTCTGCTGCCAATGAAGAAGAGACAGACTGACTGCTCAACTGTTTTTCTTAATCAAACATTACTTGTAAGTCTTTTCTGAACATTTGAATTTAGTAAATCCGACTGGTATAAGTCATATATTTCTATATAACATTTAAAGCAATAACAGCTGTTAAAGTATAAACATTTTCAGTGTTTTTGAGTAGAATTTGAATGCTTCTCTAACACAATTTCAACAACCAAAATTGATTGTGTGCTAATGTAACTCAAACTCTTATGGTTTTTATACAAATAGTGTTAGTAAGCAGCGAATATTTTTCTCCTTTGTCTACAAATAAAATCACAATCACACATCCATCCATTCACCCATCCATCCATCATCTATTTTTACGGCCTCTGCCTCATATCATGCGAGCAGAAGCTTGGAAGTCTTCAGGGAGGATTCCAAGGTGTTCCCAGAACAGCTTAGAGACAGTCACTCCAGCCTCCAGGGATCTTCTTCCAGTTGGACATGCCCAGAAAACCTCTCTAGGAAGACGTCCAGAAGACATTAAGATGCCCTAACCACCTCAACTGGCTCCTCTCAATGGAGGAGCAGCAGCTGTTCTCCGAGTCTCTCCCAGATTAATGAACTTCTTACCCTATCTCTACGGGAGATTCCAGCTACCCTGTGGAGAAAACTGATTTTGACTGCCTGTATCCACAATCTCATTCTTTTGATCACTGGTTTGTGATGAAAGGTGAGGATGTAGACAGATCACTAAACAGAAAGCTTTACCTTACAGCTCAGCTCCCTCTTCATCACAACTGACCGGCACAGAGTCCACAATACTGCAGATGCTGCACTGACTGTCAATCTCATGCTCCATTCTTCCCTCACTAGGTAATAAAACAGAATATCTTGGCACAGCGTATTTGCTTTAGCCCCGACTTTTGCTTTAATGCTCTCCATCATGCTATTTTCTGGTTCTAGAATTACACTGCTCAAGATGGCTGCATGTTGGAGTAGCTCTCTTACATTCTTTCTCAGAGTTTGCTTTTTAAAACTTTAATTACTCTTTTTTTTCGGGATGTAAATTGCTTATTTCAGATGATTATTTCCTCTGATATTGGATGCTGTGCAGCTGGAAGGATTTTTACTGAAATCTTTTTTGTTTTTAATTTTGGACATTTGTTGTGATGCGTAACCAAAACAACAAGGTGTTCTTACATCCGGGAGCAGATGATTAACATCTCAAAAGCTCACATAATACCTCAACTACAGCCCCAAATCCCAAATGAGTTGAGAAGGAGGTGCCGTGGATGCATTCCCATCTACCTGGAGGCAGTACTCGAGTGCCTGACCACCGAGATCTTGGAGGTGGCCGGAAATGCGACTTGTGACCGCGGGAGGACCAAGATTGTCCCCCGGCACCTGCAGTTTCGTCCGCGGCAAGGAAGGGCTAGACAGTTTGCTGGGAGCAATGGCCTTTGCTTGGGGAGGGAGTTTTGCCTGGCATTCAGTCAGTCTTGCTTCCCAAGAGGACTGAGCAGTCTGCTGGGGCTGGGTGGATGGATCGGCATCTGCAGCCAGTTTCTTCAGATGCACTGTGGGATGGATAGCTACAAGAGATATTTCCTGCCCACAGCCATCAGCAACTATAACAACTCTAATGAAACCAGGATGAGCTACAACAACAATTAAATGTCCCTTTGGGATTAATAAAGTATTTTTGAATTGAATTGAATTTCCTCCACCAAAATTTATTACTATCAACGCTAGTCCTTAAATCTTTTAGTGTCCATTTCTTTTCAAAAGAAGAGATGAAAACTGTAGATTGTGAATATAACCAATGTTCCCTGAGAGAGGGAAACAAGACACAGCTATAGGGATCGCACCATCACTAGACCAACCTGAAGACTTCTAAATGGTTATAAATTCTGATTATGTAACAAACATTTTTAGAGACTTTCTGTTTGACTAAGGAAGTAATTTGCATGAATGTATTAATATAAGATAACTAAAAACTGTAGCAAATATTTAGCTGTATTTGACATTAATTAAATAAATAAATAAAACAGTATCTTGGATATGTTTGGGAACAAAATTGGGCCCATGCATCTGGAGAGATGGATGGTAGGAAAACAATCTAATACTATTGCATCAGAATAATTCAGTTTGTGTCACAAACTGTGCTTTTCAGATAAAGCTAGAACACTTTTTTTTTTTTTTGCAAAACAAGGCAGTGGCTTCACTTGCAACATTCCACACATTACATCTTAAGTAAATAGTTTAGTCACTATGGAATTTCTTGAACACTTGCAACAAAATTCACTCACTTTCTAAAATATTTTTTTCATTATAAGAGTAGCATGGTTGTGAAATGCTTAGAGCTGTCACCTCACAATGAGAAGGTCACAGGGGGTCGTTTTGTGTGTTCTCTCCCTGCATGTATGGGTTTTCTTCAGGTTCTCCACCCACAGACAAAAAACATGCATGTTAGGCTGATTGGTAACTCTAAATTGTCTTTAGGTGTGAGTGAGAGAGTGAATGTGTTTGTCTCGTTTGTCTCTGTGTCCCTGTGATGGACTGGAGACCTGTCCAGGATGTATCCCGTCTCTTACACAGCGACTGCTGGATGCGGGCATAAATGTTAAAGTAAGTGTGCAACTCAAAGGTTTACATGGAGCAGACTGTGGGTTTCTGGCTAAAATGTGTTGAAGTGAAAAAAAAATTATCACAAGATAAAGAGGGTAGAACATCTTTATTTCTGTTTATTCTGTTTATTGTTTCATTTTAATCTGCAAATCCTTTGAATCGCCAACAAAAACAATAACAGACATTTTTTGGGAACAAGGAGTGAATGTTCCGAATGATGGTATTGTATCGTAAATCAAACAGACAGGATAGCAGTCACAAGGAGTTGGAGTTTGGTGTTGTTTGAACAGAGCTTGTCCATTCAAAGTAGGAAAAAAAAAAAAACATTTTGAAACTTTTGTGTTTTTTTTTTTTTTTTACAGCATGCTCAAAGGCCTTTATTTGTCCATGTTCCAGGAATCGTTACGTGTCTACAGCTGAGGAAAAGCAGACATGAAGGTGTAACTTCTTAAAAAATATGAAAAACTGTCCTTTATTATAAAATTAACCAAATTAAAACAAATGTTTTTAATGTCTTTATAGTTTATATGCTGTGTCATCCAGTGGTGTAGTTTACATTTTTGTAATGGGTATACTGTGCTTAGAAACCAATGTATACTGGTTAGTACAATGCAATCGTCAATTTATTTAGATGTTTCCAAATTTCTCTGATGCTTATATTTGAACAACAATATTAAAACATGTTATAGAATTTATAAAACAGTATCAAAGCAAAACATGTTCAAGTATTAAGTAGTAAGTACAGAAGTAATACTTCGCTGGATAAGCGAATGTAATAAACAAGCACTCCATACTGATAGATTGTTACAGAAGCATTTAACTGCCATTTAAAGTATCAATGACACATGCCCAATGATATGTATCATGTATCATTGGGCACTTTTAAGTGAGTATAATGAAATTCTTACACTTTTCTAGTGGGTATATGCCGTATATCCGAACTCGTAGGTTTGAGCACATTTCACCGGTTTTGTCCTCCCTTCACTGGCTCCCTGTGTCAGAATTGATTTAAAAATGATCCTGTTGATATTTAAGTGCATTAATGACCTTGCACCCTCATACCTCTCTGGCGTACTTCAACCATATGTTCCTTCGAGATCATCAGGCCAGCTGAAAAATGTTGGATTGTATACCTGGATTATTGAGCATGGGCTTTGTTGTTTCCAACCAGTTTGACACGACTGTCAACTAGGAAGAGGGCCGACAATGGAGGAGGGGGTGTGACAAAGAGACCAACATAGCTGGTTTGTTACACTTTGGAGTAAGCTGTTGGGGGAAGAATCAGTTTTGTGTTGTTTGTTTCCTTGACTGATGAAGCCTTTCAGATCGAAGGCGAAACGTTTCAGCACAAAAAAAAAAAAGAAACTGTCCAGATGACCTGACTGAAAAATGTTGGATTGTATTCCGGGATTATTGAGCATGGACTTTGTTGTTATCAGACCAGCTGTTTTTGGTTGTACCAAAAACTAGGCTGAAGCTCAGAGGAGATCGGGTTTTTTCAATTGTGGGCCCTAAACTCTGGAACAATCTGCCCCTCAACATTAAACAGACCACTTCACTCCCCGCTTTTAAATCTCTCCTAAAAGCACACCTGTATTCACTGATGTTTAACACAGTGTGATTTGATTTATTATTTATTTGTTTCTCATTGTTTTGCGTTTAAAAAAAAAATTATTGCTTTTAATTACATTTTGTTGTTTTTTTTACTGCCTCGATCTTATTGTTAAGCACTTTGGTAACAGCTGCTGTTTTAAATGTGCTTTATAAATATATTTGACTTGACTTGACTATCACGGTTCAAACTAGTCAAATGAACTATTGTTTATGTTTGCAACATGTTTACAAATATAAATTGCTAAAACAAAGCTTTGCTTCATTATTTTACGTCTTTAGTTTGTCTCACTGAAAGCTGGTACACACACTGAGCTCAGCTGAACCTCTTAGCTGATTTTCACACGACGGGCAGAGAGGCTCAAATTCACCAGCTCACAGTGAAAGTCCAGGAGCTGGCCTGTGCCATCGTGCACGTAGGCTCCCCTGCTGTGCTATGATTCAATGTTCGTCTTTGTGCCACCAAAGAATTTCTCACAACAGTTTTATTTCAATTTTAGGGCACTCTTCTGTTCGTGAGAAAAATATTAGATTATTAACACGTGTTGTTTTTGTTTGTCTTTTGTCAGCAAATGTTTTTCTTGTTGTTATTATTATCTAGTTTT